TGCCAAATCTGGTAAACTGGTGAAAGCACCGTTCGTTTATTTGCAATTCTGCGCATTGGTCATCTAGAAAGTTCCATGCAAACCCTATTTCCCACGCATATATTCCGTTTAGATGGTTAACATCACATCGCGCAGCGCGTCTTTCCGTCGAAACAAAAAATGGCTCACATTACATTGAAGAAATGAAAGAGATGTTGAGGAAGGCGGAGGAGCAGCTAGTGAAGGCGGAGGCCGCAGTGAATACGTTCAAGGAGGGGAGACGCGGACAAAAACTGGGAGAGAGAGTTACTCGTTCTAATTTTTATCTCTATTTGGCGGAACTCGTATATCAAAAAGAGGTTTTGAGGACTTACAGTTGAAGCTTAGTCAAAATACGGGCCAGGGTTTCAAAAAGATAAATTGCTCACATTTATTCCCGACCGTAACATTATATTGTGCAGAGTCAATCAATTAAAAATAGAAGATAGTGAAGAAGTTTACTTACTATGCAAAGAATTCATTAACTCTATATTAATCAGGAGAGGTGAACAGTGTTTATACCAGTAAAACTATTGAGTTTCAGGATGCACAAAAGTGCAAAAAATATTGCAAAAAATTTTTTAAAACAATGAAGTTTAATTTTATGAATATACAGTCAGACCCCCTACAGTCACACCACTTGCTATGCTCACAGGGGAGGCAATCATTTCGTCGACAATCATTTCACCGACAAATCTTCACCAACATTATTTCGAAGTTATCCTTTTTTGGTAGTTAATTGTCGGTGAAATGTACTGTCGGTGAAATGATTGTCGATGAAATAATACGGACTCGCTCACAGCAACAAAAAACAATATAATAATGAAATGCTTTTGCTTTATTCATTTACTTTACTATGAGTTCTTCACATTAGCAATAATAATAAACAGTAAGAACCATGTTGGTTACTTTAGTAAGACAACAGTGCAGATGGATAAATTAATATAATAAATAAATAGTCAAAGAGCACAACCACATGACATCTCTATACAGTCACACCTCCATACAGTCAACAATGAAATAGGTGACTATAGGGGGGTCTGACTATATGTCATTAAGAATAAGAATAATCATTGAATTTATTTTCAAAATTCTAAAAAATCGTATTGGAAAAATCTGACCGTTAAAGTCCACGACGAGGACACTTACATCGCCGAGACAATCCACTCTATAATCAATACATGTTTCAGCGATCTGAGCGTTGACGCGACAGTCGAAAAAATTTGGTAAATTTTATTATTATACTCTCTAATAGCTATTTCACACTATTGACTGGGGAGAGAGTAACTAGATGCGGGACCCGATTTCACGTTAGCAGTAAATAATGTTTTGCACCTATGCGTGCGTACGTCATGTGACTAAAATAAGAATATTTTAAAGGGACTACTCCACGTAAGGCTTTTTTAAGGGCAGGAACTTATGATGAGTTAACCGATACAGTCTGACCCGTTCTCTGTCTGGGGAGCAAGGCCGCGAGTATGCCCACTACAGGGTGTGTAACCCGCTTTCTCTTCTCTCGACCGTTCTAGCTTGGGGGTGAGGCTCCGCCAAGCTTGACCTTGCTCTACCAGAGCTCTCTGAGGTATCCGAAGGGAGTTTGGGAAGGGGCCGCGACCATTATTGGGTAGTGAAACCGGCTCATTCTCAAGCGGTTGAGTCGAAGGTTGCGGATACTCGTTGACGCAGAGCCTTCAATGTGGAAAGCGACATCTATTTATATTGGGATTTATGTCGAGTTAATACGTGGTAATTGCATTTCAGTTGTCTGGTGCGAAAAAAAAAGAGAACGAGAACGAAACGAATCGATTGCCGACAGACAGCGGCCGAAACAAAATTCGAAAATGGCGGGACGAACGAACTCACGAGCAAATCCGATATTGGTAGATTATGTATGAACGCGTCATTATTATTTTTTGCGTTTGTAGTCGTACCCAGATATCGAGTACTCAAAAGATCGTCGTCCTTAGACTTCTCGTGTAGGGTTTGTTGTTGTCAGATTGGAATAGTAAAGACAATCAGGTAACAACATTATAAAGGTATTTTGTTGACATTACGATATCAACCCTACGACATAATTTGCTTCGTTATAAAAAATATTGTCTACAATCTAAAATATCTTCTCAACAAGTCTTTGTCACTCGCAACGCATTTGATACCATTATTGATCAGAACATCACGAAAGCAGAAGAGCCAAGCTATTTATTACTAGAGCTCTGTATGAGACCGCCATTCAAATTCTTCTCGATCCTGAAAATGCAAAATATCAGACAAAAAGACCCGATTTTGGGGAAATATCTGACACATTATTTAAAATTTCAAAATAACATGGTACATATCTAACAAGGCTTCTTAAATAATGTACTAATAATCTAGGTCAAAAAATAATTTTTACATAGAAAAAAAGGCTAATAAAGAGAACGAATATATGTTGTTTAAAAAAGAGAAGGGCACAAATATGCGTCCTGCACGGCCTGTTTGCGTTAAAGAAGATTTATACTAAAATTTACGACAAGTTTGAGCATCCGGCATTTTGGTTGAAGTTATTCTTGTATTCCACAAGATATTACTGAACGTTTCGTAAGACAATGCGCGCTCTGTTTGACACATAAGAATAATAGTCGACAAACAGTGTCTAAGCCTATCGTATCAACAAACTTTTTGACCGGGGTGCAAGTAGATATTGTATATATGGGTAGTATACCTGATGGGAATACAAATGGATTTGTCACGCTCGCGATCATTTTACCAAATTTTCCTGGGCAAGTCCACTAAAGCACAAAACTGTGAAGGAAGTGTCTAGGATTTTATATGATATATTTATCGTATTTGGTGCTTCATTTATATTACAAACCAGTTAAGGCAAAATGAAAAGGAGTTGCTTTTGTTTGGAGACGATGAGCGTTTTCCAGCTGCAGAAGTAAATAAATGGTTAAAAATAGTCCGCGATTGGATGACACAGTTGACTAGCAAACCTTCACATGAATCGCAAATGAAATTGCGAAATCTAAAGAGAATACCCTACCAAAAGGGAAGAAGAGAAAAGCGATGAAGGCTTATACGGGTGTAAAGCAATTAAGATCTGGGAAGGTAGTTATGGATATTTGACTAAATTCTATTTTATATCCTATCTGATACTAGATCTAAATCATATGCGAATACAGTTAGTTGGAAACTCTCAAAAAATTCTACCTCTATGAGAGCTGGGAAACTATTAATACTCAGTGGGAGGCATGGTTTGGACGGCGAACGATATCTGGTAAGCTTGCCGAAGACAAAGTTGAAGAAAAGTCTAGAGGTATTAGAATGGTTGTTGAATATCGTCGAAATCGCGCGAATCGATGATATGCCCGACTAACTCGTGTCATGTGCAGCAGTAAGAGGCCTTCAAATAGTTGACAAAACCAGACGAATATATATTATATAGAGTATTTATTGTTAACGATCAAAACATCAATAATAATAACAAATTGACACTTACTTTGGAAATAGTCAAAGAGAGAAGAACTAACATCAATGGTATTTCAAAAACGAGAGTAGATTATTTTATCTTTAGTATAATAAATTTGGCATGTTCTAATAATAAATAATATAATATTAATCACATGACCATATTGATATAGTTACAGTCACAGACATTAAAAGCGAAAATCCAACATCTGGATTGCTAAAGCGACCATTTTGAGAAATATAGGAGTGCAAAATCAACGAATGATTTAGGAAGTGGGTAATTAAGCGGTATTAAATTTTTTACATTAAATAGGCTCTTAGAACTTCGATCATTATGCGGCAATGAAAATTGATTACTGAAATTATGGACTAACCTTTCAACAATCTAGATATAAATCTAATACAAAATTGGATTATTAAGACAATGTAATGCCAAATCTCGATAAATTGGAAAGTTTATAATAGAAGTGTGAAAACATATTCCTGAAACACTCATAGTTAGTTTGGCAGGGGTCAATACGCCGACGCTGTAAGCTTATAATTGAAACCAATTTCGTATGAAAATTGATTAGAATTAAAATATCCGGTTTTTTTGTTACACACTGTACGTCAACCTCGCATCAATATTCTAAACGTCAAATTAAACTAGGTAATGATAAATAGAAAGCATCCGGAATTTATGGCCGACTTATCGACTGACTGTGTAATTATCTTGCAATTTCGCAAATAACTTTTGTTTATAAGTCCCGGCGAATAATAATAATGAGCGGGAGACCCGTTTAGAAAACCGTGCATTGAGAATTAAGCTTCACACCTTTACTATTACTGCTTATTATTACCCCCTTTGCTATTACCACCTCGTGCCTTTCATTATGTAATGGCTCAAAATGACTAGTTCATGACAAAATGTAAAGAACCAGTTTATCATTGCACAGCAGCAGCGTGTGTTTCTCATAAATGTACAAATTAAAGAATAACGAGTCATTGTGATTAAGGCTCTTGACTTCCCAACATATGAACTTTAGGCAACGGCAGCTCAAATATGTTGCAAAGTTCGCCGAGAAGTTTCGTAAATTTCTTAATATTGGGATGCATTCTGATGTTTGCGTAGTCGACAGTTGATGAACTCTAACAAATGGCCTAAAGAATCGAGCAGACCAAATTCTCAATGCTTGGTAATCCTAATTTAACTGCTCGAATCCACGTCCATCCAATGAATTGTTGTCGTCTGACTTTTAATCGATAAGATTTAAAAGATGTGATGGCCTTGCGTATCATTGCCTCTAACGCCTGGTGTCGACGGTGTTGGTATTCCAATTTGTCGATTACCTTATCGAGAGACTACCTTCGCCCTGCCGACTGCAAGTGTTCCGCTGTCGTAAAGCCCCAACATGCTCATTTCTCAAAGAACCGATATATCGCTGTCGTTAACGTATTGTATCATTGACTTTAGATATTGAACTGGCAGCACAAACACGACCACTCAAATATAACATATTCGTGTGACACTTGAAAATTTTACTCTTCCCGCCTCCATGATATTAGACTTTCTACGTAGTCTGCAGAACCTGATCGTAGCGATAATATCATGGCTACGCAATCCGTCAATACGACTCTTACCATCACCGACAGACGACGCACCGTCGTCATCCGCAGGGCCAGAACGTAACGTACCTGACACGAGACCAGTCTCTGTTTCGAGGTAAATTGCATTTAGACATAGTACCGAGCATTGTTCTGAGAATTGACTTTACTAAACACATCAATTCATACACAGGGTAACAATGACAGAGATCGTGACCCCGACACACGCTGATACTCGAGGATTTATATATGGCGGAGAAGTAATCGGCTGGATAGACCTTGCGGCAGGAATCGCGGCCAAGAAACACGCCGTTTATCCGTGTGTAAATATCAGATCTTAGTAATGGTTCTAATTTGATAATTGTTCGAGTTTAATTCGCATAGACTAAGATAAGATTACAGAGACACTTTTTAGCAAAAGCTGCTGAACTATATTTTAACCAATTACGCGTTTTTATCTCTGTAAACACTCGCTTATGCTTGCATTCTTCCTTCCTTCTCGTCTATCCGTATATTAGGTAACAAGAAGTGTAGATGCAGTACACTTTATGCATCCGATAAAAGTAGGAGATTTTCTCGTCATACAGGCAAGCGTGAATAGGGCATGGAACACATCTATGGAGGTAATGATTCATTGGTAAGCGTATTATGTGAATGTCGGAGAATTGTGAGTGATGGAGGATAACCGAGAGAGCGTGAATAAAAAATAAGATGAAGTAGGCTGTGAGGGTGGGTATAGAAAAAGAGAACGTTCAGAACGACAGATAATCATTGAATGCCAAACAAGCATAATATAAATCAACTTTTAGGTCGGAGTACGCGTCGAGACTGAGAATCCTTTAACGGGGAAAAGAAAATATTGCTGTCATGGTCAGTATAATTTACGTGCCTAATCGATATATTTCACAATTGACAATTGTCTCTAATCTCCCTCTCACCTCAACTACCAAAATTCACGCAGCTTATCTAACTTTTGTGGCTCTACTGCCTTCAGCCCGTGCTACACCCTCATCTCTCTCGGTCACTCTGCCCCGCTACCGCACCGAAGCCGTCAGTGTTCCCAAAATAAATACCACCACTGCCATCGAAGTCCAGCGACATGCAAAAGCAGAAGAACGACGTCAGGCTCGTATATCGTCTTCTAAAATAACTGACGCGCGTGGACGAAGGGAACAAACGAAATTAGCGGAATTGAGGGAATTGATGCGAGAATGGTCAAAAACTACAAACGTGGAAAGTATGAGTTCTGCTGAAGTGCCGCCGTTAATTCCGGAAGAGATGATTGAAGACAATTCCTCTGAAACAAATGCGAGTGAAGATGCGAGTGAAGAAAATGAAGAGAAAAAAGACCCGGCTCGGCTCTTCTTGAGAAGAAAAAGTACGTTCTCTGGAAGTTTGCCTGAACAACCTAAAGAGAAGCTTATGAGGGAGAGTTTTGCGGAAGTTGTTGAAACTGTTTTGCCACAGCACGCTAACACCTTGCAGGTATGTGAATTATCATAATCTGATTTATATGAGTGTGGAGGAGTTTGCGCAGTTTATCTTGCGACGCAGGAGGTATATATTGTTGTGCGTTATTGCAATGGTTTAATTATATTTTCTCTTGACTAGATTACATTTGGTGGTCAAATAATGAAATGGATGGAACAATGTAGTCTTATCAGCGCAACGCGACATGCGCGGCGGTTTCTCCTTCTCGCAAGGTAACATTGATCGTCCACAGTCATCCTCATTGTCCACTCTAATTCATTTTTACGACTATTCCCTGAAAATACAGTATCGATTCTCTTCAATTCCTTCGACCAGCATACGTAGGGGATTGTGTTACAGTGAGATCAATCGTCTCTTGCACATTCCATTCTAGTCTTGAAGTGTATGTTACTGTTGAGGCCGGTGAGTGAATGTTTAGGCTATGAGAAGGAACTGAACGGTTGGAGGAAAGACGGAGCTTTGTAAAGGAATATTTATTCATGCAGTTTATTCTTTTAGAGAACTTGTTCACTGGCGAGCGATATTTTACGAATGATGGGTTTGTTACTATGGGTATGTATCTACGGTCTATGTTTTGGATTTACCGAACACTATACGAATAAATACCCTGCGCAAGTTCATATCATTGATTTGTCATCACAACTTCCTAATCGTATTATTCTCTTGTCTTAGTTGCTGTCGACTTTACGAATAATCCAACACCAGTACCCAGAGCAATTCCTCAGCAAGCGGAAGAATTTGCCATCCGCGAGAATGCCGAGGAGCGACGACGAAGGCGGCTTCGGCAACGTAGAGAACTGGTTCAAAAGGAATTGTCAACCAGTCCCGATGAATTTATCAAGGTGAGTTTGTCGAGAGAAAAGGCAAAGTATAAGGACATTGATTCAGTTCAATGAATATCTCACAAACTTTCTTTTCGCCAACTGTATATTTTCATAGTTTACGGAGCAATGATAACTTTACTATTGCTATTCATAACCCCCCGGTTCTTTATTTATTTACAAAAATAAATACATCCAAAGCAGGAATAAAGTAACAATAGAATGGAAAAGGAGTGATAATAAAACATTGGGTCATTAAGTGTAGAGAATAAAGCATCTATACGAAGCTCATACATGAGAACGAGGGTTTGACTGTAAAGCAAATATATAGAAGGAGCGAAATGGTCTGAATGTTAAATAAGGAACGTGAACATACCAAGGGGAAAAGATAATCGGCTAATATTAGGGAATGTAAAAAGTAAAGATAAACGAATGGTATTAATAAAGCCAATCATATATTGATTTGTGAACATATCGCCCACCCAACATACCAGTATAACCTCTCACCGGAAAACAAACGTGATAAATACCATCTATAAACATCCAACAACAACCTCTTATTACAGCTCCTTTTTAGTCTTATTCTCTAAAACTAACGATTAGAGTCTTCTATAAGAATACAATAATAACAACACAAGATAATGAGACAAAAAACGCATTACAAAGAGAGTAAAAAAAAAAAATACAAAAGTTTTGATAACTAGTTGTCTAATTCGGGTCTATATAAATAGGTTTAAACAAAAGCAAGCTTTGACATGAAGAATGAGTTGACATTGTTCTGAAAGTGAGGAAAAAGAGTAATGACAGATTAAATAATGATAGCGAATGCTATCGCAAATAAATATGTAAATACGCTTTCTCAACTGCATTATCCATTACTCTAACATTTCCACCAGCAGTTGCACTTGTTGCACCCAACCTCTTCTATATTTTATCAAGAGTTTATAAGCATCAGCGGCAAATTACTTATTGGCCTTTAGCGTCGAATCCTTCACAGTCTATGTCCAGGGATAGCAAGGAGAAGTCCAGTAACAATTATGGAAGCTGCCAACGACATAAACAGTATCCAAAGGGCTTTTGGAACGTGGATTCTACGGTATATGTATTTTTCTCGGACCAGTTCGTATTGCATAAAAGACCGCTCGCTGTTCATACGAGATTAAAGATGGTGCAAGATAGTGCAAGATACGAGACAGAATTTGTCAGAAGATAAAGTTCGAAGTTGTAGTAAAATATCAGCTCAATGTTCTCTCCCACACTTTTTTTACCTGATATGAAGAAGTACGAGAAGCGGAGATAACTCCATTTGAAATGCAAACAGATTTAAAATACCAATGAAAATAGGAATAAAGCCCTACAAATAAAATGCAAACAAGAGTATTAGTTTAAGGATAAACGGACTTTTAAATTCTCTTTCAAGCCAGTTTCTCCAAGCATCCCAACCAACAGCCTTTTCCCTCCCCCTTCATTCCCCTCCCAGCCTTTTCGACTCACCCAAAGCCTCTTTGACCTCGGCTTCTCATCCAAGAGTATCAGACTCAACTCGACGGTGAATCCAACAAACAAGGAAAACAAACCCAAACCCAACCTAATCAATGTCTGTCTAGGGGTCATGTTTCCATATGCTCTCGCTTTCAGAAAGTTTGGGTAAATCTCTCGCTTCATTAATCGATACACTTCCTTTTTAGCCTCTTTGTATATTGCCGGGTCGTCTTTATGCTTTTCCTCGACGGCTATGCGTATTTCATTGAGGACTCCAGGTGACAGACTTATTTCTCGCTCAGCGTTGGGAACGAGGTAGAGGAAGTAAATACGTTGAGCCAACTGGGTAACGTCGTCCCGAGTTATTGGACGTTGACCTATGAAAGAAAGGTTACCGGTTGTCGACGAACGGACTGAATCTCTATACCGGAGTTTTTGGGTTGCTTGCTGGTCTGATACGTCTATTACCTCGTGCTGAGGTGTTTCTGTTCCCGTTCCTGTTGTTAGTGGAAGCGGCATGGGGGAACCGGACCGCGAGTCTGTATCGGTAAAGCCAGTGCTACTTGAGCTTGCTGAGAGGTGTCGATGTAAACTGGATTGAGTGCTGTGTCTTTTCTCTTTATCTGAATCTTTAGATTTTGCATATTCTGGAAATTCTACTGAAGAATCTATTCCAAATTTTTTAAGGTCTTTTAAATAATATCTGCAAAGTAGTTCGAGTTCTGCTACGTCTAGCCAAAAGTCTAGATACTCGGCATCGTGCTCTCTGTCCCTCATGTAGATGTAGAAGTTGAATAAACATACTGGCGGTGCTGTTTTGCGCTGAAGAACTTCTTTGAGAGTAGGTAAGTTATTTCTGTTGTATGAGGGATACTTTTGTTTCGCCAGTCGACGTCCTTTCTCTGATACGGCTTGCGAGGCCATTGTGAAAAAAATGTTAAAAAATGAGAATGTTTGCAGATATTATTTAGGTATCAAATATTACATGCATGTATGACGAATATAGGCATCAATATGAGAAATCAATAGTGTGAGACTTTAATCAATATGGGAAAGCCTCTATCACACGAACAACAGTAATTGGTGTGACGGGTTAATTTTAGACCAACAATAACGTAATAGTAAGATTGGGAAGTAAATAAAGATATATTAATTCAGTTTTCTATTCCATCTCAATTATTCTGTTCTTTTTATTTTTTTCATGCGTTGACCATAAGAATTTAACATGTAACTTAACCCGTTACCTTTCTGTCTTTCTTACATCCTCATGCATTGCATATTTCTTTATTCAGCAATTTTCCGGTAGTCCAGATTTTCGCTTATCAAATTATTTTGCAGGTATACATATAGTACGACGACTTGCCAAACTTTTTATACACTAAATTGCATAATCAGCCAAGAATCACATCTTATAAAGAAGCTAGATTAACATCTGTAAGAATTCCTGAATACCAACACAGATTAAGCTCTCTATTGATTTACGGGATGTAAAACTGCATTCTTTGCAAAATTTGAAATATCACGTGGCTGCCAGTTCAATAATACATAGTAATAGCGATAGTAATAGCCTGTCACCTGTCTTACTGTTTGTTCTACCAATCATAATCAGCAATCGTTGAATTTTATGTTGCCTGCTGAAATGTACATGAACATAGTAATAGGCCTCACAATTAACTCTTGAAAATTAATAATTTCCATTTTACTTTCGGTTAAATTACCCGAGTCGTTGAATACAAAGACATAAGCTACTGTCCACAAAAGACTTTTGTTCGAAGACAATTAAAGCAGATTTTAATTGTTATATTTAATGTGAGGAATAGTGTTCTATTGAGAAGATGGATTTTTTCCCAATGTCTGTTCTTCTGATTCGTTGGTGTTACACAAGAAATAATTATGTGAGACATTCGTCCACACAAAAGACGTCATCAAAAGTACACGAACTACTTCAGAACAATGGTTTTTTTGTTAAGAGTGTTACATACTTAAAATTATACAGTTAATTTGATAATTAGTGTTCGAGCGCAGTAATTAATTTAAGGAATGCAGGTAAACACAAAGCCCTATTCTATATTAATATCATTAAGCTTTAACATGGTTAGGATATTTTAATAATGTGGATTTTATTCTCTCTATTTCGCTCTAATCTGTAGTTACGGATAACTCGGTATTCAACTTTTACGTGGTATAATTAATTTCTAGTAACTTGATCTTTAGAATGGTGTTATATATTATTATTGTAATAACACGTTAATGCTGATACCTGACAGGCTTCCGTGTACAGCGTTTCTTTCAGCCAATTGATCACTCAATTAATTGAATAGCAGGAAACTTGTGCTACCGCGCTATGGACTTATCATACTGATGCGATCTTTTTATTCTGTGTCTTAACTCCTGCTTTACATACTTCGCTTGCTCAGATGTTGCTCGCTGAGGAGTAATGATTTTCTCCTGTTTAATTATTTTATCTAATCGCAGAATTGAAACAACATAATCATTTCGATTGCGAAAGTAATCGCTTACATTGTTATTAATGTATAATTTGTTTTCATAGCATACTATTATACTGCAGTTGTCACATGAAACAATTGTTCACTTTCTCGCAATTTTATTGGTGAGCTGATCACATCGCATGCCAAAGTTTTTAAAACTTTGGAGACATAAATGCTACCATTACTATTCTCTTGTATGCTGAATATGTTGGGTGCTTATGTATGTATATATATATATATAGGCTAATATAACAATTATAGTACAAACACAGATAATTATTTACAGAAACAATTTCCTCACATATAACTTATTCACCTACCAACCTCAACCATCCACCCACCCATAAACTCCATCAACCGTTCCACTATTCTGTTTGCAAAAATATAAGCACCGAATACAGCACCAAATAGTCCGCACACAACTAACGATGCAAGTAGCATCAATACTGTCGCGATTGCTACAAACACACAATCACCGTTACTACCACCGCTTCCACACGTATTACGCCCATTGTAGTCTGATTGATCCGAAGCTACGCAGCAGGTGAGAATTGGAGAAGTGGAAGAAAATCTAACTAACAATAAGGTGTAGACAAGACCAACAAAGGAAACTGTGCAAACGCCGCAAATAAAGTCGAGATGTGATAGGGAGAAAATTGGTGTTGGTTCGTCTAAGGTTAAAATGAGCGGATCGGTTGATTTGGAAGGAAATTCTAAAAAAAAAAAATATATGGTAATTTGAGTTATTTCATATAAACACTTCTTATTTGACAGCTATGCTTATTACGGTTTTTTTTATATGGGAGAAAAACTCACCATCCATTCCATCCTTGATAAGGTATATAATTGCAAGATGAGCGATTGCACTAACTAATAAAATAGTCAACAATAATAGAATCGTTGTGTAAAAATGTTTACTCGCCCAATGCGAAACAATCTTTGCTGCTTTGAGGCGATATAACCGATATTTGAAACCACACTTGTCACATGAAAACGATGAAATAGATTGCGAATTATGTACGCGGGAACCGTTTTGTGTATTCTGCCAATGTTCCAGACATTCGATATGAACGTAATGATTATGTGTATGACATTTGCACGCAGAGATGAGTTTTGATGGAGATAACGTAGACGTAATAAAAAGAGACAAGAACGAGCTCGTAGGTGAAGTATTTTGCGTCATTGATAAATGTTCTTTTTTATGACATAGTCTACATATTTTGATTGTCCCCTTGTTCCCTATGGATCTGTACTCTCTTCCCTCTCCGTTTAGATCGCCTTCTATGGCTAGTGAGATTACGCTCATACCCTCTGTTCCAATGCATTGGGTATGTAACGGGTTATTTGGAGTCGAGTCATTTGGAGTCGAGCCATCGTCTGCATTTACTGCTAAATTTACTCGAGAATGTTCATGGTATGGAGGAGGAATTACCAAAGTTGGCGTGGGTGATGGGATTGGTATTGCTATTGATGGTGATAATGTTGATGACGTTTGGTTACCCTCAACATTTGGCGTTTGCATAAGTATAAAATGACGCTTCTATTAAAGTTGATACGCTACTTTCCATTTCGTAATGTATCTGGTATATTTATACGTTCATGTCGTTTTGTTTGTAACATCCTATTGTTCCTTTGACATCCTTTTTCGTCAATTAGCTTAGTCGCTGCAATTACACATCTATTCTTCATGAACTAATATGGAATTCCCGCTAGATTTTGTGTCACAGGTGGTAGAATAGTCTGCTTATCTTCCCGGTAAATATGATGTATGACTAAACAGTGAAAAGTCGAAAACAGCTATATTTGTACGTTATCAACTAATTTTCATAATGCAGTGATTGTTGGACTGGTTGGTCATGGAGGCGCAGATCTATTAAAAATCAAAAATAATGCCATAATCGGAAAATGGAAGCTGGTTGTGGAATTGCTATTTTTATCATTTGTAATCAAGTATCTTTGTTTCGATTCCGGGTATGGTTGCGACTCCTTAATATCTATTCATTTGTGTAATTACACGTCGATGATCAGTAGAGTGTAGATTTGTATAATTAATGTAGCATATGCATCGACAAGCTTTACGAATACGGCATACGAGTGTCTCTACGTATATATAGTACGCATTGCTATGAAACGTTCAAAGCGGGATCGATTCAATTCGGTTCTGTAAATATACACTTTTCGATTATCACTTCTACTACCCCATATAACGTGTATAAACAAATTGAAGTGAACCCAATTATTTTATTCTTTATAGTAAACTATAGCTAAAGATGTAGCAACAATGCTTTCAGTGTGCAATTATTACCAGTATTGTACCCTTTGATGCATGCGATCTATCGAACGATATACTGCATCATACGACTGTGGTTGTTTGATCATACAAGGTTTACCTGATAGGGTAAAGCTAAGCCTTAGGGGAGTTAAATGGTACATACGACTGTGAGACATACAAGAACATAGGATCGGTATGTTAGATTAGCACACTAAAACTGATAGCCGCTGACATATTGAAACGCGGAGGTGGGGTTGGTAAATTAACAAAGTATACAGGACCAGCCATCGGAGAAAATGTTTGACGCAATGGGTCAAATCTCGGAACGGGTCATAGCATCACTTGCATTACTATTAATATTGTAAAACGTAGAATTTTCTATGTAGATAATGTATACTAATACATAGACTTTTGTTACGCAAACGGTACGTGCATAAACAACATTATTATTGTTATGTAACGTACGGAAAAGGCGTAGAATAAACCGTGATTCATGATGACTAAGTATGTGTAGCCAATTTTAGAGACTTTTGTCCAGTGATCGTATATTAAATCTGTGTTTTCAATTGTGAAAACTTACAATTGTAAATATCACGGTAAAGTCACGATGCCTATGATGTCTCGAGGCGTTGGCTCACCTTGGAGGCAAAATTCCATTTTCAATTAGTAAAACATATAAAAATCTAAAATTTCGAACTTCTGTATTAGCGTTATTTACTAAGCAAACAACCAGAATTTTTGTACTGTTATGAAGCTAATTGACTGTAGTTTTCGAATAAAATACTGCCAAATTTACACAACGTATCTGTGATTTGCTGAAGTGACAACACACATACATTTTCATATGATTTACATACGTGTAACATATAGTAATACAGAATGTTCGGATTTATAAGGTTGATTTATTCAAGTCTTTGAAATCATAGAATGTTTAGGAACTGAAAACGGCACATGTTTAGGCGAGCTCAGTGGTATCGTTATGCTTCCCAGAAATGTGTCAATAGATCTTGCTTTTGCAGTATAATATACTCCGATTTACTAGTAGCGACAAACATGTATCAAAATGAGGACTAAAGAGACTTTCTTGCAATCAATCATGGTTCGAGAAAAGAAACCTTTACTTAAACTAATGTTAATTATTAAGTATTAGTATATGGTCAAGACGTTGAAAAGTAAGTTGGTTTGGTTAATAAACTCTGTCCTATAAAAAATTCCGAGATTAGTTAAAAGGCTTGTAAAGCATTTATTAAGTGGAACGACAATAGATTTCCAGTTTAGTAATACTTCCTACCCTCTCATGGTAATTGAAACTATAATTTTCGATCAGCCAAGTGATCGAATTAATAACTCGCAACTAAAAAACCGATTCGTTAGAAAGGATGTTTGACTTGGCAAATCAATAAGTCAAACCAGTTACATCATCATATGATGAGCTTTGCTTCAGGCGAAATACTTTGACCGTAATTTTCTATTGTCAGTTTTGTATATGCCTCGTAATTCATAACTTGTCAACATTTTTGACATGACGCAGCGCGTACACTTTTCACAATTCGCGTCACATTATTCTAGAGTTCGTTTTTAAAATAATGACGGCGTTTGCTAAATAAACGCAACATTTAACAATATTATACTCGTAGAAACAAGGCATAATAATAACGGCAAAACGAATATACCCAATCGAAATTGCCACAGTTGTTGCACATCAAAAATTGAACAACCTTATTACTAGCGGACAAGCATTTGATTATACCAATTATCATCAATAACTTGTGCTACATAGGTAATACAAACCTACGAAAGATATTAACATGTTACAAAGATTATGGACTAGTATATGGATTTTAACCTGGTAGGCCTTTCTCATGGAAGAGTAATAGCAGATAGGAATAACGACTTTCTCTCTTTTAAACAAAGAAATATGATAAGCGAAAATGGGGGGAAACGCTTATCGCATGAGTCATTGCCTGACACATTTACAGTTATTAAGAAGCATTAGCGTAAATTCGATGCAGATGTTATTACTTTATGTTATTTACGAGCTTTGTTAGTGTTCAACGTCACATGATACCATCGTTTACAGTTTTGAGGTAACCGAAATAAGTTTAGTTGTACTGTGCTTGCATGCATGATAAGGGCCCCAAAAAGTTTTTTTCAAAGCATGGCCGCCCTCTTGCTTGGCTTGTGAAATGATGTGTGAAGGCTTTCTTCAAGTGTATACACTTTATGAAATAGTGAGATCGTCGAAGAGGACTAATATTCGATAACGATTACTTTGTTATCTGAGTCTCTACCGTAATTTGATATTGAGTGTATTTGTACTGTACCCATGTTCATCTGTACTACACCAACAAACTTAGATGGATCCGGTGGTTACACAGCTGTCTTATTAACACTTTGAAGACAATTGTTGATTCTGGAGGGATTATATTACATTTCTCTCTTCCTTGTATGAGTTATCCAGCTGCTACAGCTTGTAATATATTGTCAATATAATATCGTAGTATATCATGTCATCACCAACGCCGACATCCCAGGGCAAAAAGCTAAAGCGCTCGAAAACGGGCGCGGCAAGTGTCAAATTGCCAGATCCTCAGCAAATGAAGATGCGGCCATTGACTATAGAAGAGAAACGGCAAAAAGAAGCACTTGCTGACAGTACTGCTGCATTAGAAGTAAGAAGAATCGAAAAGATGCCTTTTGTTGCTTACTTGGGTTGGAAACATAAATACTTACCTTGCATATCTCACAATAATTATCAATATCTGCTGTTAATAAAGGCTCAGCAGTGTCAACCAGATGTAAACACAAGACCAGACATCTTCCAGACTTCGTCATTTTTGGCGGATGATAAAATTGTGCATGTGAGATATCCACCAAGGAACAAGACTAAAAACGAGGCCCGCGACGAGGCCTATAATGCACTTAATGGAATTAGAGAGGTAGCCTGAATTATTTCGTCCGATCGTAAAAATATGCTACGTGATAAAGACGGGCGACTTATACTTTAGTGTATAATTTTATTCTGCTTTAACAGTGCAATATTACTGTCTAACGTTTTGGTGGATATGTTGTTAATATTTACATTTCTTACTCTATTTTGGTTCCCAATTCCGCGGTCTACGATCACTTCTCATTTTTCACCTACGTCCGTTAACAGAAACAACTAGGTCCGGCAGACTTACAAACACTCGAAAACTTTGCTAATAATATTGCCGAACGAAAACCAACAAATCTAGGCAGATTACAAACAGATTTCAAGTTCCCCGCACGTGCAGGCACGCCGCCCACTACTCATGATTCCTTCACAAGGACAGAGCAAATCAATGACGAACGAGAAAAAAAAGACCGTGATTATGACGATTATGAGAAGAAGAAAGCGCGGAGAAAGAGTCAGCTGAATGCCTTTGCACCTGAATTTACTCCAACATTTGCTGCTACCGTAGCGCCAATGGCGGATGTGAGACCGGAAAGTCCACGGAAAGTGAAAGGGAAAGATAGAGTGAGTATCAGATCAGACTGTTGTATTCATTCGGTGACGCTTGGGTAATACTATACAAATGACATAACACGGTTTTACTATTCTTTAATATCTCCCTAGAATATAAACGGTGATGTTGATATTGACATAAACTCTAAGAAAAAACGTCGCAACAATCTTTCGTCTGACATGATCGGTATGGATTCTAGTACGGCTTATCCTTATGTTGGTTATGATACTACGGCGGGTACCCCTATTCCCTATTACGGCACGGCAACTCCAGTTCCAATGTCATTTGTAGACACAAAGTCTGAAGACATGAACCGTTTTGGAAATGACATACTTGCTCGCTTGGAGAGCTTCCAGAAACAACTAGACAAGATTGTATCAGGAATCAATGCCAATCAAGTAGGCGGAAATAGTTTAGATGTTGGGAATATTCAAGAGAAAATGACAGAGTTGGTTGGTCGCGTTAGAAGCGAGATTGAAAAAATTGTCAAAGATGCACTAGAGCAACCCATGACTCTTTCTGAAAATATCGAAAAGATTGTCGAGAACGCACTATCAAGTCTTCGACAGCCAGTTGTTGATTCTGGAAGCAATATCGAAAAGATCATAGAAAATGCATTGTCAAAACAACCTCGACAGACTGTCGTTGATTCTGGAATAAACACTGAGGAAATTATCGAGAAAACGTTGTCGCGAATTAGACATCTTGACTCTGTAGAATCAGTCAATACAACTGCACTAAAGCAAAATGACGAAAAACTGGAAGCACTATACGAACAGCTCTTGAATGAGATAAGAAACAGTTGTCAAGAGATTCGCACTAATCACCAAGATATCGTATCACGCGCAGAAGCGTTACATAATCGACAAGCACAGTTTCAAAATGAAATTTCCAAAACTGGCCAGCTGCAAAACCGTCAGTCAGAACTCTATACACTGCAAGAGGCACTATGTAAAAATTACTCACAGCTTGTAAACACTGTTCCTGAAAGCATCAAAGAACTTCAGGTTCGTCAGAATGAACTGCAATCAGAACAGGCCCAGCTCCTTAGTAAAATGCATAATGACTTTAACCATCAATCAAGATTACGTGATACTGAGGAAAAACTTGGGAAATTACACATGCGGAAAGTTGAACTAGAGAGCGATAATGAAAAACTGCGGTTTAAGAACGTTGAACTTGGAAACCAGAATGCAAAACTTAGTAACGAGCTTAGCATCTACAAACGCGATAATACCCGTAACGATAGTCTCCAGACTGATCTCGTACAAGCACGCACTCAAATACAAAGCTACGAGAGTCAAATTAAACAATTCAACACTCAGATTCAAACGTATAAAGATCAAAATCGCTCTCAACGTGAACGGATTGATGAGCTCACCGAGAAAGAAAGGAAGTGGCGCGAACAGCAACTGCAGTGGCAAGAAGAGAAGACCGAATACGAGAAAAACAATAGCGAACTCGACCATAAGTGTCGTCAGCTCGACTTGGATATAAACAGATCGCGTGAACGCGAACGTCAATTGGCCGAAGCTGAGAAAAATTGGAAGGCAAACGAAAACATCTTAAAGACCAAGCTTAAAGAAAGTGAAAATAAACTTGATGAGTTGCGCCAACACCAACGTCAATTAGAAGCTCAAGCAGCAACTGCCAAGAATCTGCAAGAAAGTCGTCAAGACCTCGAGAATGAGCTCATCCAGCAAAAGAATAAGGTTATAGACTTGCGGAAACATAATGAAACCTATCGTACCGAAGTGCAGCAACTTCGTTCAAAAGCAAAGGAGGCCGATAACGCCAAAATGGAGATTTCTCAGCTACATAAACGTGTTAAAGATTTAGAGTCATCGCGTTCTGAACTGACGCAGCTAGGTCAACGCGAAAAAGAGAGGCATGCACAAGAATTGGAAGTTCTTCGTGCCCAAACCAAAGGTTTTGAAAAAGATCATAGGGAATTGAATCAACTGCGTAGACGCAACCAGGATCTTGAAGTGCAGGTGCAAGAGATTAAAACCCTCAGACAGCATATTAAAGAAGTCGAAGGCCAGACATCCGAACTTGAGCGTGTGTGTCGTCGTATTGCTGAATTAGAAAAACAGGTCGAAGAAACCGAAACGCTTAGGCGTCGTCTACAAGAGCGAGGTTCGGAGCTTGAACAATTGCGAGCACGTATTGTCGAAATGGATGGACAAAGGCGAGATATGGAGACTGTACAACAGCGTTGTCGTTCTCTCGAAGAACAGGTGCAGACGAATTTGACCGAACTGGAGAACTTTAGAGCTCAGGTTCAAGATCTTACAAACCAAAATTCGAAAATGTTTGAAGTACAGTCGCAAGCGCAAGAATACGCATCCCAAATCCACTTAAAAGATCAAGAATTAGAAGCCACGCTTTCTGATCTCCGTCACACACAGGATCTTGTCAAAAACCTAAAAGACGACGTCGAGAGTCTAACTCAAGCTCGCGCTGAACTCTTTGAATCGCAGAAACGGGTAAGGTTTTTAGAAGAAGAACAAACAAGACTAAATGCAGAACTTGCGCGGATGCACAAAAGACACGCGTCGTCAACCGCATTGGGACCTCAGACAGCAATTAGTCAGGCGCACAGTAGACAGAGCAGTGTTAGTGTTAATGGTTGGGAGATGGTAGATGAGCACAGAATTTCTAGGGATAGTTTGATGTCAAACGACAGAGAAGGCGACACGTACCCACCGCAAGGATCTGCGTCGGGCTATAAGGTGTCTGTTTCGTTGCCTCCACCAGCGGCTTACAACAAACCACCACATGGACAACCACTACACGGTCACCCACAACCTGGACAGCAATTGCCACACGGACAAACACAACATGGGCAACAATTGTCACTCGGACATTCACAACCTGGACAACAACCGCCACACGCGCATCTACAACATGGGCAACCACCACACGGATTGCCTCCCACACAATCATCCCATCCCACACCATTCCCCACACAACCACCTCACATCCAACCTCCTCACTCTCATGTTCAACCTCCTCACCCCCATGTTCAACCCCCTCACATCCAACCCTCTCACATCCAATCCTCTCACATCCAACCCTCTCACATCCAACCCTCTCACGTCCAACCCTCTCATATTCAACCACCTCATATTCAACCACCTCATATTCAACCACCTCATACGCAACCACCTAATATGCAACCATCTCCAATGCCTCTATCTATGCCACAAAATCAACCAAATGGAATGTCCTCAATAGTGCAATCTCCTCCATCAGGTTACACGCCACATCCAACTCAGGTACCTCCGCCACAGTCTGTTGCTGTACAAGGAAGCCAAGTGATACCCCAACAGTCAACCTATGATCAACCACATCTTCCGCCATCTGAGCAACCATCTCAGTCCAACGCCACCAAACCTCAAGCGAGACAACGTTCCTCCTCACCAGTCTCGCCGACACGCAAAGGCCATAGTCGTAGTTCCTCTCGCAATGTTAATAATTCCTCGTCCAGTTCGAGCAAACCGAATAAAACCAATCACAAACGTGAGGGTAGGAATCGCGGACAAAAGAAGACGGCACAATCCGAGTCGAGCAAGAACGTAAATAATGATGCGGGAAATGAAAACGGTGGGAGTAGATCTTCAACACCACATCCGGGACAGCCGTCGCTGAAAGGAGGAAGAAGTAATAACAACGAAGATAACGCTGTGGGCACGAAATGGAAAGATAATAAGGAGCCATTAGCTAGCAACAGCTGGTGGTAAGAATTGACGGAAGAGAGAGTGGCCAAGAGATGTGAGATATCAGGTTTAAATTATGACATAGTCAGCAAAGTGTGGTGATGAATACTCAATTTCCTTTTTGTAATTATTCACTTGTCAGAAATTTTAGAGGAAATCTTACAAAACGAATTGTTTTGTAGAGGAGTCTATATTTCCTATTTGTTTTTTATCTTTATGTACATTTATAATAGTATTTATATTTGCTTATAGGCAATTTGTCAAGATGGGAATATCTAGTATAGCCATTACATCAATTTATGATTAAGTTAAAAACTGTTCTTATGAAGATACTCTTTTTGGATCTTGAGCGACTTTGCCCTGTTGAAATAAATTGTTTTAATGATTTGCAGAGTGTAATTAAATCTGGAATGCTGTGAAACTCGATATCACGGTTTTTCCCGCACTAAACTATATTGATATTAATATTGTCTGGACATTCACTTGGCTGGGTGATCAAAGTAAGAAATTAAATGAACGACATTAAACTTGTCGATCAACCTTTTTTGTGTGTAAACAAACCGTTTTAGGCAAGTTGATCAAGTTTAGATGACTGTGTTACGTGCTACTATTACATGCAAAAACTGACACTCGACTCAAAACTGTCAACTATTTTTAGAGCTTTTAAATAAAACAAATATGTGATAAAAAAAAAACAAAGCAGACCTAAAATATCGTGGAGTTGTAATAGTAAGCAGTTTAGATCCAATATTTGCAACCGCAGAGGAGATCCGCGAAACCTCTGTGTATTAACAATAATAAGGATAAGCTTACGGCCGCGTTTTGAGACCTTTGTGGTGTTTGTCAAAGATGTCATAGACAATATTTCTGTTATATTGTATGTATTAATATAAACTCGAGGTGAGCACATAGGATAATATTTTCGTTCAACAAAACCAATAACAATCACTAATATTACTTATGTCCTAGTTTAAAATTCAACCTTATTCGGACATTTAACATGTGCTAAAAATGGTTAACGTGGCTAGAAGATTAACAACAAAGGCTTTGCTTTAATGGATAACTGTGGCCCACGCATAACTTCATGGACTTTTTTTGAGCCATATCATAGCAGATGTAACTAATATTTAATTAATTAAAATAAGTAACATGAACGTTTAAATTTATAGCATGCTATCTCTATATAAATATATATGAATATGAAATTAATTTACATTAAATCTACCATGGGAACCCAAAAAATTATAGAAAGAACAGGGTAAAAAATTGCTCCATATGTTTTTAAAATCAATGATACCAAATTCTTGAGGGATATCTAGATAAGAAAGAATTACGAAATTTACCAAGAAGAACGAAAAATACAAAGCAATAAGCGAACATTAATGCCAACTTATGATGAACCAGAAAACTAGAAGCAAAAGTCTAAGAACCTTTAGTTGAGAAAGCAAATAATTCTCGCTCTCTCATTTCAATAACATGTCAAAAACTAGGCATTCTTTTTTAATTTATGTATGCATTAGTGAAAGTTCTGCAACATGGGTATCATTAATCCATCTTTTTTAACTCGAATGCTAAGATTGTCACGTCTTGCACCATTAACGCGCCAATTCGTTCAAAGACACCAACTTCTGCTGCACCCTGGAGAAATTGAGTCTTCCAGTAATATTTGTTTGCACGTACATCCCCACCTCGTATCCTTTGAGGTAATCGGCACCGAAGCAATCATTTCAGATGTATTTTGTATATATCTTGTGGCATGCGAATTTTCATTTTCTTTATTCCATGAAAACAAATAGAACAATGATGGCTTATTACCGAACGGCGGTAAGTCATCAAACGCTATCTATTTGTCCCTTCACACTGTAACATGCTGAAAGCTTAAGTCTCTTTTGAGTGTTTGAGGATATAGTGAATGTCTCTTCATATTAAACCGTCTTTTGAGATCATTCAATTTTCCATTCATCTCACTGAGCACACCGACTATTTTCTCTGTGTCGTCTCGCCTTGGAGGGAAGAGAAGAAAAGTTGTCGCAACATTTTCAGACACTACTGGTTGTGCCGTTAATAAAGACGTTTAGCGTGTCATGAAAAAAATAGAATAAAATGAAAGCTCTTCGAACGCATGCAATATAAATTGTTTGGTTTTGCGAGTTTTTTTTTTTATATATATATATTTTGATGTAAACATTTACGGTTGTTTTTAAAGTTCGAACCTTTGTTTTCTCAACCCTAGCTTTTTGCTGTCGATCAAGTTTGAATACACAGTGTAAGATCAAGTGGCCTGTCAATAGCCCAGCCTTAAATCCTAGAAAATTTATGACAATTAGCCAAAACAATGTAGGAAAACTATGCCCAAACATTGTGGGGAGTTAAGAGTCGAAGAATGAAATTCTATTTCTGATAAAATGTTGTCAACCTAGTGGAATAAAATAAAAACGCAAGCTAATTATGGGAATATTTGAGGGGACTCTGTTAAATTTATGGCAATAAGACCTTTGTTCATAAGCTTTTAAATAAAGTATACAGCTCATTTATTACTATAACCATTAAGCAGCTTTAGAGGTCCACCTTAGTTGCGTCTAATAAAGGACACGAAATCATTACTTTAACCATTGTAGCACAACCATCAATACCGTATTTCCTTGACTAAAGTACCCCCCCCGGAGCAAAGTACCCTTCAGCAATTTTGAGGCCTAATTTTGTAAAAGACCCTTTCCCATCATACTTTTTTTCCCCCTCAAAATGCCTCGATCGAAAAAAAACCCTAGAAGTTCTTGGTTGCCAGTCCACAGAGAACGACTCCGATACAGAAGATGAAAATTCGAATACAAACACCGAAAAAATTTCCCTGATATTTCTCAAACAACAAGAAAACATCGAACTTAAAACAGAGTATTTGACAGCCATCCGGCGTATTATCAATCAAATTGAATTACATCGTTTGTCTTCACTTAAACAACAGTCTGTTACACATTTTTTATGTTAAATTTTACCCTCTGAATTGTAAACAGTTCAATTAAGAATCTGGGGTATTTTTTGGACGAATCTGAGTCTTATATATAAGAGCATTCCGCTTTGTAGGAAATAAATTCTGTGTCACATTAAGTACTAATTCGACCTTTACGTTAATTCGACCGATCGAATTATTGGTAGTTGACTGTATGCCAATATCCGAATTCCCCAAGGAAATAAGCAACGATATATTAAGTTGATGTACCACTTTGTGTCTTCCAACTTTAAATTGCCTCACCCAATACAAAACCCGCACAGTTTGCACATCATGCATCACCCTTACGACTATTTCGTGTTTGATTTGGTTCAGACTGAGTATGGACGAGACATCTATCAATAAACAGGAGAGGATTGATGTGTCCAGATTATTATGTCCAAAAGCGATGAACTGATATTTTTTTATTATGTGAACTATGTTAACTAAATACATCTCATCTTTCTTTGCATTATATGTAGGTTGTATCTTCTGGTCGTTTACACCGACCGTTGATCACTGCAGTTACATCATTCCCTTTGGACTTTGTTGCCAAACAACTGGCTGAACTCCCACTTGTGCTGCTTGCACTTTTGTTCTATACAATATTAGTATACTGGATTGTGGATGACTTTTGTAGATTCGTTGCACATGTGGTAAGTCTATAAACGTTGGATAGATGGTTAATTGAGCACTAACTGGCATGTATTGCCTCCCTTCAAATGATAACTGTCCTAGCTGCACAGGACTTTGGATACTTCTTCGGTGCAATACTAATGGACGTATGAGTATGTATTCGTTCGTTTACAATTCTAGTCTTTTTGACGTGTCTTCACATTGGTCATTCAGGCCAACAATATAATCTTGCTTTTTTTACAGCTGCGAGTACAGTATTTATGTTGTTGGCCGGATTTTATGCAACATTCCATTTTGGATAGAATGGTCATCATATCTCTCATTCTCACGTTATTCACTCCGCTTGCTCATGCAAAACCAGTTGCTCGTGCTGGATCGTTCCGGTTAGAATGTATTAGTGGGATTCGCAGTGAACTTGCGGTCTCAATTGCATGCAATCGCGATAACATGACTGATTGTCGTTGTTTGAATGCACGTTGAGTAATAATTGAAACTTGTTATATATATAATCTATTAGTTGTTAGGTTTTTATTACAATCAACAAGAAAAAAGACGAGCTTTTGTTCAAAAATATTTTTCTAGATGAGCAGTAAAGTAGACATAGCGTTTAGTTCGTCTCTACAAACTTTTTTGAGAGAAAATGAACATTCTCTCCATGCACATATAATTTACAGTAGCAGACATAAATAAATAAACATCGGCTTTAGAGAGGAGGGCTATCATGAATCGTGAATCATGATGTAGTGATATAAAACTGGCATTGAAAAAGCGGCATACACACTTCCTACAGTGCATATATTAGCGCGTTGTGAAAATCATTTTACATTTTGCATGACGTATACAATGTAATACAATTAAGTGTTCGCTTGAAAAAATTTTTAATTCCAACTATGTCGTTAACGTCAGGGTTTGTTAATAACTCAGCAATTGAAGACTTGATTCAATCCTCAAAAGCACTTCAATGGATTCCTCGCATGGAAATTGGCAGAATAAGGTCAAGCCAAGTTGATGCCGTCTACTTCGCTAAGAGCAAGCGAGTACCACATGAGGAACTAATGGTACACCTTGGAAGTAGCGAAGAATGTACCCCAACACTTGTTAGTGAGTTTGTCAGAATATACTCACTTCCAACACACGAGTACAACGATAATGTCAGTCAATTTAGACGATATGAACAATGGCTTGAGCATCGCAACAAATTCATAAAAGGGTTTACTAAATATAATGATAAATATTACATGGTGGCTCGCAGATTCTTTTACCATTTTTATTCTCGATATGGATTCTGCACTGCATGTGGAATACTCCGATGTAGTCCTGTGTGGTGCATTTGTGGACATAAACAATTATCCAATGGATGGACTAGCAA